ATACATATTTTACAGCCAAGAGAGGTTTCAGTTATCTCTCTGTACTTTTTTTGTTGTTTTTCACCTTTTTCATAAAGTGCACTGAACAAAAGATAGTAAAAGGAAAAGCAAGAGGGTGAACAGCAGAAGAAGTAAAACCAGGAAGAAAAGGGCTCCTAAGGGTAGTTTACAGCTATTAAACACCAAAAAAGTGTCGTTACACATCCTTTTTTTGACTCCCTGTCTACCTGCCTGCTGTCTGTCACCATCCTGCTCCGCCAGTCATCTCCCTCTTCTGCCTTCATCACTTCTCTCTCCAAAGAGAAGAGACCTAACGAAAAGTGGAAGTGGACATATGGAGGTTTGAGTGAGGTTAAATAGTGTGAAAAGAGAAAAGGCGTTTTTCGGGCTGTTCCCGAACTTTAGATAACTACATTATCTCCATTTTTTAAGCAGTGTCAATACATTTTTTAATCTTGTGTCCAAACATTTTTCATTTTACATCGACATTGTACATGTACAGAATCAAAGGTACCTAATGAGTTGCCATAAATGCATGTGTCCTTTTTTTGACCTTCTCTTAAATATTTCTTTTTGTCCTCTTCTCTTGCTCTCCCTCCTCAGTGATAGCAGACAGATAAGATTGTTGCTGTTGCCCCCTCGCCCTCTTGTCCTTTTCAAGTGTCTGTCTTCTCTGATTGTCACCATGACCACATGGTTCTAACACAAGCGACTGCAAGGCAGTTATGTGACACAGCCGCTGATGTGTCGAGTGCCCGTATTTCACTCCAGATGATCAATGTCCTATTTGTCACTGTGTCAAACTACATCAATGAGCTATTCATCTTAATAGTCACGCAGGCACACTGACTGACAAGGACAGTTTGTAGTGTCAGTGTTGCTCTGTGAGTGAAATATGAATGTCAGAGGGACATTCTGCAGATGGACATTCATCAGCACTTCCTTCATGTTTGTGTACACAGTTTGTATCAAAGGGGTGCATTAGGTTGATATCACAGTATTGCCTCACCCCTATAATAAATCTGCACATTGGTGTCAAGTAGCAGTATTTTTATTCGTGTTACATATGCAGACAAACTTAGTGCACTGAGAGTTAATCCATCCATCCATCCAATATTTTTTTTCGTGTTACATATGCAGAGAAACTTAGTGAACTGAGAGTTAATCCATCCATCCATCCATCATCAACTGCTTATCCAGGGTCAGCAGGTTTGGTAGGGTGCTCTAGATGTCTCTCTCTCTAGCTCTTCCTGAGGGATCTGTTCCCAGGCTAGATGAGATATATACTGTGCAGTAATCCATCTAGTGTATTCTGGGTCTACCCTGAGGCCTCTTCTCAGTTGGATGTGCCTGGAAAACATCCAGTGGGAGGTGCCTAGCAGGGATCCTAATCAGGTACCTGAATCACCTCCGCTGGCTGCTTTCGATACAAAGGAGCTATGACTCTATATTGAGCTACCTCTGCATGACTGAACTCTGTACATAATCTCTAAAGAAATGTTCACATTACAGCAGAAATACAGCTTTTGTGCTTTTGTGCACACCTTGCCATTGCTGTGTATGTGCTGCACTGTGCAGGTTCTGCACAGACATTTGCGGTGTGCAGTGCACGGGGGGGTGCACTGAAAGTTCAAATTTATTGAACTTTGACCCCAGTTGCGTTAAACTCTGTGTGCATAGCCAATCACTGTTTTTCCCTGGCTTCGCCTTTACTCACAGAGTCTGATCCTCTAAAACATAACATTATTGATCTACTGCTAGCAACATTAGCATTGTAGCTACTCCATTATGTTTTATATCTGAACTCTAACCTCACTGGAGGAGATGTTGTCAGTAAAATGCCATAATTTACATGAAATATCTGGTTTGGAGCAATGGATTCTTAGCAAATGATGTTTTAACTTAGTCTAGCAAGCTTCAAAGCAGAGCTCCATTATCACGATCTTTCAGGAATTAGTGTAATGGCCAGAAGCTTTCAGGAGGAGCCCAGTGTCCATTATCTCTACTGTATCTGGTAAAGCTAATCTATATCTAAATAATGAGTTAAAACAGAGTAGATCTGCTTTCTCTTCTTGTAGTGAATTGGCTCATTGCATCACTAATTGCTCTGTATGAGCTAATGTTACAGTGCTTGATGGTCATGAGGATGATTCACTCTAATGCACAGAGCTAAAGGAATCTCAGCTGGGCGTGGGCTAGGACAGGACAGAGGGAGTGGAGGCCTACAAGGAGAGATAGTTCAGGGACAGGCAATAAAAGAAAGAGACTGGTAGAGAGAAGAGATATATTATAATGTGAGTTTCCAGGGATGTGATGAGTCAGCAACAGGAACTCGGTCCCTGCAGTTAAAGTCCAAATTGTCTAAATTGTTAAAATCCATGCAGCACAGAGGTAATTACAGATGACTGAATGCATAGAAGTTTTGTATCATCTTAGATGGTTACAGCGTTTATTTGTATAGTAGAGTGGGAGAAGGGTAAAACCCATCATCTCTTTCAATGACCCCAACTCATTCGATGACATCTAATAATGCCTGTGAATAAATAGCCTGAAATAGTTTGACTTACACACCCTCATACATGTTCAATGAGATGTTTAACCTGTGACTCACCTGTGCCATTGTAAATTTACAACATATACTTAATGTGATTAATGTGATGTGTCTGCAACCCTGGATCCTTACCTCAGCATGTTTGTCACACACACACACACCTACAGAGGCCACATGCTAATGCAATGCAGGAGCACAGTTAAGCCTTGTAGAGCAGAAGACCGGGTCGCTTGGTTTGACACTCT